CAATGACAAAAAGGAAAAATGCGATAATATTAATTAAGCCATAAACCGTCAAAAATGATTACAGTGAAGCGATAACGAAACGAGAAAAGGAACAAATACACGGAAGATTATATAATAAAAAGACATTTTGTATTTGTGTTAAATTAAAATCGGCCCTTATTAAAATTTGTATGTTAAGTTTTTAACACACTCGTGTTTTACATTTTGTGTTTACGTTATTTCAATATATATTTTGCGTTGAGCCGATATTCAACATGTGTAAGTATTAAAATAACACGTGTAAATGTAAAAATAACACATTTTATACTTTAGTGTCGAATAATATGTTATTGATATTATAATTTCGCGTTTATCTTTGACGTAATATTTATGTTACTTTTCAACATATTCACTTTATATTTAATTAAAAATTTGTGTCAATCGTTTATTCGATATGTAAAATGTGTTAAATTTAACATAAAACTTTTTACTATGTACGCGTGATTCTTGCAGGTTTTAATTTTTCGCAGGTCCTACTTCTCGGATAAACGATTAACCGTGAATCAGTCGTAATACAAAATTACATATTAACTTGTAAAAGTTGTACTTCTATTCGCGCGATATTTTGGATGGTAACGCGCGAAGAGATTGATATCGGTAAATGAGGAAAAAGGAACACTCCGGCGTTAAAGTAACGGAAAAGAAAGGAGGAGCAACATAATGTACCCAGAGTCACGTAGTATCGCTTGGCTTGTCGTTTATTTCCTGAAACAAGACTATCGCGGTGTGTCCCTGGAGAGACCGCGGCGTTGTAATTAGCGCGCGTGCTGCGGTCGGTGTCCCGTTCTCTTTTGTTTTTTGTGGAGATTCGTGCACTCCGCCTGGTCCCGATGGTCCCGGCATCCCTCGCGGCGGTCCTGATAATGAAAAAAAAAAAGGGAACACCAGAATAGGAGCTCAAGGCGGCGAATGGCCCGATCCCTTTCATAACGTGGGCGCCGCTCGTCGTCGAGAAACGACGCCGACGGCAGATTGAAGAAGAGCGAAGGCAAAGCGAGAGACAGAAAAAGAGGAACGAGAACAAAGAGAGGAAAAAGAGAAAGAAGAAGAGAGAATCACCGTGAAGCTGAGGCCCCGGATGTTAGTTTGTGCCCATACAATCTTAATCAGCGTGTCGTGGGAATGCGAGCGACGATTTTTCCGATCGCAACGACGCCGATTCGCGCGGAATTTCCCGACTGGGAGCGTACTAAGGAAGCCTCGTGTATTTTTTTAAATAAAAAATCAACTGTGTGTGTATAGAAATTTTGATTTTGTTCGAAGATAAATAGCAGATATATTTTGATAGTGTAATGCAAGATGCAACGGCGGGCAAACTGAGGTGGCAACCTTGGATAGGACCTAGAGGACTCGGAAGCAGAGAAGCAGTCCGCGCGAACATCCTTTCAGAGACTCTGCGCAAAACGAAGGGATAGCGGAAGACTGAAGTTGGGAAGAAGTCGGAAGCGCGAGGAGAAAGAGTAGAGGATGGTAGTGGGTGAAGAGCAAGAGAGAATCGGAGTGAGATAAAAGTCGATGCTGCGACAACAAAGGACAAAGGAGCGACGCGCTTTGTACCCGTCGCGTGGAAAGAGAATAGAATCTCGCGGGGAAGCCCGGCCGCGGTGGATGACGTATCGTGGGTATTCGAAACAAGAAGGCGGGCGACCGAAGTACTCTCTCTGGGGGGTTGGAAGAGAGGCCATTGAAAAACAAGGCGGTTCGCCGCCGAGAGTGCCCGCGGTGGGAACTCCGGAACGAGACTCGGTTTTTCGTCGCGAGGCGATATCTGCACCCGCGCTATATTGAATTCCAACGGTCGCGTGAAATGGTAACGCGTGAAATTTTCATCCAACGGAGAGTCCCGATAGATCACTCTCTTTCTCTTTCTTTCCCTTATATTGTATTTTTATGCGTTCTATCCTTGTTGTACATGTAAAGACTAATAAAGATACAATGACGCGGTAGCGCTAAATAGCGTCTCCTCGAACGCATCCTGCATTGCAAACGTACGTATTTTCGTAGCTTCCCGTTTTCTCGAAGCCGAATCAGACTGGACGAGCCCGAAGTGAATCATTGTGTGCGTACACGCGGGCCCACACATCTACCGTATAAATTTTTTGGTTAATCGCTTATCTAAGCCTCGAGAGTTCTTTTCGGTGGAGAATCTTTCGAGAAGCTTAACCAGCAACAAATTCGCCGTGCACCAATTGTGATAACATCCTGTGCGGGAGTACCAGCGCGAGACAGAATAGCGAGGTAGATCCGATTAAACGCTATACTAAGTCGCATTCAACAGCGCACTATTGTCGAGTCTCGCTCGCCCTCGAATCCCTCTCTAAGGACGCTTTGACCACATTGAATTATCTGAGAGTAGTCTCGCCACTTCCTAGCGATGCGCTCTAACAATTCCTCTATATCAACCCGAGTTATACAATGAAAAAAAAAAGAAATGGGAACAATAACTCGTCATAATAGAGCATTAGCATCGAACAATAAAAATCACAATGATCCTACCACTGTTTCCCGCTCGGCTTTCTAACAAGGGAAGTTCGGGAAACAGAAAATTCCACAAATTTTCAAATTTTCTAGAAATAATGTTATGAGCTTTTAATCACGTAGCTTTTCTCCCATTTTGGCTGAAAAACGATTTTAGGAGTACAAATATTCCTTCAAAGAAAATCCGATTTTCCACACTTTCGCTAACATCTATGAAATAATGGGAGATATTTTTTTGTACAAGACGCTATATCCATATACCGTTATAAAATTTATCTTTTAGTTCCCTCCACTTTCTAAATATTTTTTTAATCCTTTTATTTAATCATAGTGTTAAAAAGACCACTGTATACCATACAATTTTGTATTTGACATTTTTTCAGTGTATCTCTTATGGTTTTAGAGATATTAACAAAAATATAGAAAATCTGATTTCCTTTGAGGAGATATTTTCACTATTATAATCGTTTTCCAGTCAAAATCAACATCAGGTTCATACGCATTATTTCAGCAAAACTTGAAATTTTTTGGAATTTCCGGTTTCCCGAACTCTCTCTTGTGAGCCTTGCAGGATCAAATTCGAGCACACGTAACGCAACGCAGCACCGCGATAACAACAATTCAATGCGCAGTCCGCCGCGTGTAATTCGACTGTTATCGCATTTGATCAAGCGTTGCGTCAGACACGCGCAATAAGGAATTAATTAATCCACATCCATCTGCTTGGCGCATTGCGAAAACGCGAGAGCGAGGCGGTAGAGGAGAAGCGTCGTCGGCAGCTGCGGCCACAAGTACACGCACGGCAACGATCGAGAATCGATCATCGGCCGTGAGCGAAGTTAACTCGCGCCGGGCGATCTCTCGATCGGGCAAATATTTTCGCAAGTTGCACCGCCGTTGCCGCGCGCTCGTCCCGCAACCGTAACGTCGTTAAACAGCTGCGCCCTTAATAACGGCGCGCGATACGGAACTCACGTCGTAACCGCGTAACCAGACGACGGTACAAGAGCCGCAGATCACATGCATCACTGTCATGCAAATCGCTTCTCCTGCCGACTCCTCCGCTGCTAAACGCCTCGTTTTAACTCGCGCGCGCGTTCCTCTTGTCGGCCTCAACCAGACGCGCTTTATGCCGCACTGATTATTCGCGCGAGGATGAATTGTTTATAGGTCGTTCGATGGAAACGTTGATGCGCGCTCATCCGCTCGACAGACGAGACGGCTATCGCGAAATTGCGAGTCGAGAAATTAGACCGACGGATCGCGGGAAGGGTGACTCGCCTTCGTTCACTCAAGATTCGCGATTTAGTAGAAGAAGACCGCTCTCACGCATGCACATTTGGAAGAAAACGCCTAGATTTTGCTTTTGACTTGAGGGGTCAGTTATCGAAGCGGAAATATTGGTTGTTAGTTTCCACGCATGTATTCTTCATCTTGATGTACGGCCAGAATTTAGAGAAAATTGTACTTGATTCGATGTAATTTCAATATAATCTCCATACATTGAGAAAAGATGCCGTCAATATTTACTTGATCCAAGTAAAATGACTACTTCAATATTCCTTGGCAAATATTTATTATAGAAGTAAAAGTATAATTGACTAGGTATAATTTGATATTTTCTTTGTATAAGTAAATATTTATTTGTATGTGTTAGAGTACGACAAGTATTAGATTCATAATATTGAGAATATCAGAATTTATTTCTCAGAAAATATTTGACCGGATAGAAAAATTTTAATTTAAAAAACCACTTATAGAATTCTTCGATTCAAAAGAAGTGTTACATAAGTCTAGTAAATACTTGTTTAAATTTAAATTTAAGACATTTTCTTTTAAATTTAAAATCATTTTAGACTTACATCCAGTAATTCATTTGCAAATTAAGATATTATTACGTTGAAATAAGTATTTACTGCAAGCTATATTAAAATATATTTAGATTCATGAAAATATTACTTGATTTAAGAAGCTGAAAAACAGGTAATTACGTTTATTTGATTCTAGTACTTTTTTCTGTGAATAATTTAATACGAAAATTGACGCGACTACGAGTTTCATTTTTCTATGCCGGTCTTGTATCAATATTAAATACTTCGGGCGAACGGTAAGTACATTTCACGCAAAGGCTCTCAGAGAAATCACGACGGACGGAAGAAGATTAGCGTGCCATATCGAGCGTGCAATTTGTATTCCGTCGATTCCGCCGCGACGCCCGGAAAATTTCGCGTCTCGCGTCGGCACGGCGAGTGAACGAAACGTGGAGTTCTGCGCGAAACCAGCACATCAACATGCAAATTGCGAAAGGATCTCACGGAGTTAGCGTGCCTCGCCGAAAGAAGCGAGCCGAATGTAGCAAGGCGATAGGGAACAGAGCGCACGAAAGAAAGAAAGCGGCGGAAAGGATCTTCGGGAAGGAGAAGCGGACAAGTGTTAATGCAAATTGTACTTTCGTAAGCATTTTGCAAGCATCGAGCGCTCACCTGGTCGCTATCGTGTCCCTGCCAGCTGTCGTGACTCTGTAACAAGAAAACAGAAAGCTTCTAGTCTGTGAACGCAAGACTTAAAAGATAATAATAAAGCATTCGACGGTATCGTATTATGTCACTGGTGCTGTACATTGTTTTATAACGTGTGATTATTTCGAGATGTGCCGTCATGAGCAATTCTACCGCATGTTGATGTTCTGTTAGATATATAGGGTGTCTGTCGCTAAGTGTATCATTCGTTATGTATTTATAATTTAGGTAATCCTGATTAATTTTTGAAAATGGCCATGTATAAAGGCTTCTTTAATTAATAACTCGAAAATTTCCGTGGTGATTGGTAAAATACTTTCTTGTTTAGAATGGTCTAATGTGTATAAATATACGGCGGATGTTGTACCTACAGATTCAAGGTTCGAATTTCAAGGTTCAATATGATGACTGACGTCTGCCACTAAAAGAAGACTTTTTTATTCAGAATGACTTAAACTACAAATGTGTGTGTATAAAGGACGATTCACTAAGCGACAGATATTCTATAGATTTGATACGATATATTCGTAATATAACTAATAGACTCAAAATTATATTTGATGGAATTATTAAGTACGATTTTAATAAAGTGTTTAAATTCACCATATTGCATTAATTGACCTATTGTGTCAGAGGAAACGTACTGCAACTCGATTAGACATGCATCCGATACGATAGTATATTCATGATGCAATAGGATTATTGTGCTTCATAAAACTATCAATTATTCATAAAATTATTAATTATAATTTTATTATTACTGGCATATCTGTATCATTTAATTATTTAATAATTTTATAGTTTGTTACTTTTGTTATTATTCTGTATTATTATTATTATTATTGTTTTATTTTATTTCATTTAATTTTATTCATTTTCTTTAGGGAAAAAGAGAGGCTAAGTATTGAAAAACAAATATAAATAAGTATAAAGCTACGTTTTTTGGCAATAGAACTAATATATATTTGTAACTCGATCGTAAGCTCGTCAGTCTCTTCCTCTCATATTGTATGTTCAATAAAGTAATTATTATTATTATTATCTTAATAAAATGTTCCCATTTGCCTTACTGAATCAGTTGTGCTACTACATCAGAGGAAACGTAAATGGCTCGATATCGTGGAACGCTGCGGCATAACTTTCGCGAATAACAGTCGCTCGCACAAGCGTCGTCACGAAGAAGCCGCGGCCTCGAGCGGTCCTATTTCGAATCCACCTGGACGGCATGTGTTTGACGCGACTTCATTGTGCGCGGACTATTGTCTTCGGGATGAACGAACTGGTAGATGCGACGATTGTGTACCATGTTCCGCGTAATATCGGACAATAACTCGAAAGTTGAAACAGCGCGCGGCACTCTGGCAAACGCGAAACGCTTCACCTTGCTCATCGTCGGCGCGTCAAACGCCCTTAGGAGAGATGTCTTGCGGAATTGCGCCATGCAGTTTTCTTATCGCTCGACTGTTTATCCCCGACGTGCGGGACAGGCGCTAATGATTTAAGACTTCGAAAGGCGACGTGCGAAAATACATGCCCGCGTATCGCCGGAGCTCCGCCGAGGCAAGAAGACACCAAACGCGGCGGAAGTCGCGCGGAAATATCTCGCGACGCGGCCTACAAATTCCTTGTTTATTCCTTGAATATTAAAAACAAGAAATGTTGTCACGGAGCAAACACGCGAAGCGGTCCAATTTTCCACTCTACTGGTCCACGAATCTCGGGCGCAACGCCGAGATTTATTTCTCGAAACTCGATGGGCGGCCCGGTTTGCTCGCTCGCTCGTTCGAGTAGACGGCGGAAAACGGAAGGCAAACGTTTCCCAGCGCGATACGGCTATTGCGTGTGTGAGAACTTCTCGCCAATTAAAAGAAGCAAGAAGAACGTCCGGATTCGTGGAAAGACGAAGTCGCGTTGCATTCCCTGCGAAGACGAGACGGGAGGAAACGTAGAAATCCGCTTGAAATATTCCCGCTTTGAACTCGCCGCGTGGGCTCGTCTCGACGAAGTGGTTTATTAAATCGATATTAACAATATTTCCGGCGTTTGGCACGGCTCATACATCGTTTTTATTGCGGTCGCCCCGATCGAACGCTCGATCTCGCGTCATAAAAATTCCCGTGCTGACGCGGCGCCGTTAAGCAGTAACGCAAACGTGTTTATCGAGGATGATAGCTGCCGCGACGTACCTGTTTCCCGACGATGCGGCCGATAACGGTTCTGATATCCGGCGGGTTTAACGTAGCAGTTATGTTCTCGATTTGCAAAGTCGACCAGCATGACGCGGCAGCATGATACGGTGTTAACGAGTGCCCGAATGTCGGGCCAAATATTTCGCGATAACGTCGCGGCTGTAAATCGCGAACGGAAGGGCGAGAAACACAGCGTGATTTTGGGACGAGGTTCAAGGGACCGGAAGCGCGCTGCGACTCGTTCGCTCGTGGGAAACAGAGGCCCGCGAATCTATCGCTAATTGGCTTTCCGGAGGTTGCGCGATCTTCGCCGATAGTTTCGCGAAACGTTTCGCGCCGGTGCGCTCGTAACTCCGACGCGGTTCATTAAATCGGCGTAAATAATACGAGGGGGAGTATATGGATGGCTATTTTATCGGACGCGGAGGTCGGCCGGTGTCGGAAGTATAGGCGGCGGGTTCATGCCTTGTTGGATTTATGACAGCAATATTCGCGTCACGCGGAGGAACGTCGAAACGCGTTCGTACGCTGCTAACATTTCGTTACGATGCACATTCGGCGATACGCACGCCGCGGAATTTATGGAAATCGGCGCGCGCGCGCGCTCCTCTCCTGTAAACATCCATTTTTTAATATGGGATTTCCGCCCGACCGCAGCGGCCGCGCGTTGGCGCGAAGATTAATTGTCTCACCTTCGGGAATTTCATCCTCGCGCGAGATAGACGCGACAGAACGATCGACGCGTGCGTGCGCGTCGAAAAATTGATGGGGGTCGCGGTGGCTCGATAGGGAAATATCGCGGACGACACGTTTTTCAACATCGGGCTTTCGCTTTTGCGTCGCGTTACGGCGCTCTTGAAATATGTTACGCGGAGCGTATTATGATAATGAAATACGTGCCTGGGTGAGAACGCGCTGCGCACGAGCGTCTGGACCCGCCCGCCGGTTTTTCGCGAAGATCGGAGGACGGAATTATAAATTCAGATTTTTCCCCGGCGAGGCACGGCCTTATCCGCAACTAAAAACCTCCTCAGGATCGGAGGATTTGACAAAATGCGAAAGATTTTCGCGAATCGCGCGTGTACACGGACGTGACGATGAGCCGAGAACTCGCGTTTATCTTGACGCATTCGCGCGTGTCCGCGTACAAAGAAGAGAACGACCGAACCAATATTTGCGTTTCTCTTTAAAGCGGCACCGTTTTTTTCGCAATGGACGCGCGTGTATCGCCGACGGTTCTCCTTTAACACGTTCATTGCCAAGCTGAAAATTGGAATTTCGTGTGGTGGCCGAATTTTTTTTATTTTTTTATTTAATTTTTATTGTGCTCAAAATAAGTTAATATATTATTTATATGCTTTTATTATTATGTACATAGGATTTATGTACTCTAAATATCTATTACACGATAACGCGTGATCGGCCGTTTGGTGAGAACTCGCATTACGCGATATCGCCAATGAACGTGTTAACAGCAGCGCCCTATTATGCAGGTCGACGAGTCATCTAGTCTCGTTTTTGGAAAAGGCTCGCCAGTTTGAATCGAATTATTCTTCGTGAATCGCTCGTAGTCACATTGATACGATATCGAGAGACGGAGGAAGAAAGACGAGAGAGAAAGAGAGAGAGAAAGCGAAGAGAGAAATTGAATTATACTTGACACGTGACATTCTCCAGTCAGATTTGTATTCTTGATACACACACCGAGAGACAGTCGAAGCACGCACACTGAGAAACCCATTGGGTTGACTCAAATTAACTCCTTGTTTGGACACGGGCAAACAAATATTTTGATTATAAGAACTAAAGTTTGGTTTTCTGCGGCGAATCTTTTTTTATTTTCGTTTCAGAGAACTAAACTTTGCCTTTCTCATAATCAAAACATTCGTTTGCCCATATTCAAACAAGAACTCAGCTTGAGTCAACTGAATGAGTTTCTCAGTGCATTTTCTCGTCCATTCGAGACGATTCGCATTCCCGACCGAAAAGCGTACGTTCTAACAACCGAGAACGGCCCTTCTGACCTGGCGTTGCATAAAATTAATATCGGAGTCGCATTTTTCCAATTAATATCGGAGCACCGAGATCGAGCATGCAAATGCAATCAAACCGGTTTCCCGGCTGCGCTCCGTAATGATTCTTTGTCCGCGATAGATGCCCGCGGATCGAACTTAATCGGGAACTCGCCGGGCAAATCGGCGCATCCGTAACTTTCGACAACCGCGGGGGCGGAATACGTAGACCAACAATGGCGAAAAGTTTTCTCGTTTCCGATCGACTTCGCCGTCCCCGCTGCCACCGTGCGCTTAAATACGTCTCCCTTATTTGCATCACGTTTTATCTTTATTTAGTTCCGTTGTATGCCGTGGCTTCGATCTCCCAGGATAGGCTAATCGACGCATCCTCTCCCTCTCTCTCTCCCTCTTTCTCCCCCATTCCAACCCTTTTGGCCTTTTTATGTGTCACGAAAGTTGAGCGGAGAGCAAGGCGGAGTGGAAAACGCAGGGACTGCATAATCAAACTGTATAATTTTTCGCGAGGATTTGATATCGACGCAGAATAGCGATCAGAACGAGATCGACCGGTTAGTTTCAATTTCTATCGATTTTCTCGAAAAAATCCGTTCCCCAAGAGAGTACCGAATACGAGACTTCTTTTTGCACAAACGCGGATGCTCGCATTTCGGCTCGATCATGCAAACAGCGACGAACTAGTTAACCGGGAATGGAGCGCGATTAGCGTGCACCTACGCCGCATGATGAAAATTCAACGGTTAAGTAGAACTAACGCCGCGCGCGCGCGCGCGCGCAC